CAACATGACTGATATTCAAAAATGCAAATTAAAAGAGATACCATCTATTATTTCTCAAATTGACAACTTTTTAAATGACAAAATTTAATATTGGTGAAGATTCAGTAAAATGACTACGTTCACATACTGCTGATGAGAGAACAAATGGAAACCACCTTTCCAAGGAACAATTTAACGTATCTATCACGATCATACACACGATCATACTCTTTCATCATCTCATTCCAAGGAAAATGTATCCTAGAAAATAATCAGAAATGCACACTAAGTTCTACAAACAAGGATTTTCATTACCTATCATAATGATATAAATTGTGAAACTCAAATGTCCAATGCTACACAAACATTTATGATATGATTAAAATAACTATATATCATGTTTTAGAAGAATACTTCATGACATGTCGAAATGCTCATTGACATTTGTTAAAAAAAAGAGATATCAAAAAGATATAATAACCATTTTATTTTAAAATATACATATTTATGCTTAGAAAAAGAATAAGCCTTCATCACATCCAGGTTCAGCGATGGCTGGGAGGAGTCACAGACTCAGCACAGAGGCACACTCAGGGCCAGGATTCGTCACAGCGAAAGTGCACACAGCACAGTCGGCAAAGGGAAAAATACCTGGGGAAACGTCTGGAGGAAACCAGGCTCGAGCTTCCAGAATCCTCAACCAGGGGAGACGCACAGGATGCGCTTCATTCCCCCAACAGCAGGTGCATGTGAAGTGCTGTCACCAGGGAAGCCCGTTAGACTCAGCACCAGGGTTTTTACTGGGGGCTGGTCACAGGGGCACCCTCTGCCTGGCACATGCTGAAACTCCAGACCCCCAGGAAGTGACAGGGGTTCAGCATAACCCTACTGCGCACAGCTGAGGCACAGGGAGCCTCTCGTCAAGTTCCCAGACGACAGCCCGGGCCAGCCTGGCATGTACCCTCTCTCAGGACACAGTGTTGGGCCTGCTATATGAACCAAAATGGTAACAGTGGCTATACCTGCCTCTGGGACTTATTTTCTTCTTTATCCTCATTTATTTCCAAGTTTTCTACAATGAACATGTATTTCCTTTAGAATCGGCAGAGAAATGTTATGCTCTTTTAAAAGTTCTGTTTCACTTGTTTTGTCTATATCTGCAGTCCCCAAGCCCTAGGCCACAGACTAGTACTGGTTTGTAGCCTGTTAGGAACCAGGCCACACAGCAGGAGGCAAGCAGCAGTGGCAGGAGAGTGAGCAAAGCTTCATCTGTATTTACAGCTGCTCCCCATCACTCGCATCACTGCATAAGCTCTGCCTCCTGTCAGATCAGCAGTGGCATTAGATTCTCGTAGGAGCGGGAACCCTGCTGCAAACTGTGCATGTGAGAAATCTAGGTTGTGCACTCCTTATGAGAATCTAACACCTGATCATGTGAGGTGGAGCTGAGGCGGTGATGCTAGCACTGGGGAGCAGCTGCAAACACAGATTATCATTAGAAGAGAGGTTTGACTACACAGAGATCATAATAAATCGACTGCTTGTAGACTCATATAGAAACCCTATCAGTGACTGGCAAGCCACAATTAAGATGCATCTAGTGGCAGGGTTTATAGTGGCCTGGGAGTTGCTGTACTTCAATTGCACAGCTGCTTCTTGTGGCAGGCTTTAAGTCAGAATCCAACACTTATTGTAGTCCATGGTTGGCCCGCCCATTATTTTATTTACCACTTCCGTCCGCCCCTCTTTCCCACACTGTGCACTTGTCTCAGTCGCAGTTTTGGTAAGCCCACAAGGTAACCCTAGCAAAAATGAGTAAAAAACAAATGGAGAGCTTGCTGGAGAGCTTCTTTGAAAAGGGGGAAAGACCCAATGATGAGACAGCAGAAGACCCTAAGACTGTCAACAAAATGAAAGCTGCAATTAAAAGAAAATACCAAGAGTACTACTAAATTATGTGTTCACTGCAACAGGTGATTCACATTCTCCAAACCTGCTTTGTATAATATGTGGTGACTGGCTACCCAGTGAAGCCACGAAACCTTCAAAATTGCTTCACCACGTGGAGACCAAGCATCCTGCATTAAAAGACAAGTCTTTGGAGTTTTTCAGAAGAAAAAAACATGAACACAAAGAATAGAAGCAATTACTGAAGGCCACCACTTCATCAAATGTGTCTGCATTAAGAGCATCATTCTTTTTATTATTATTATTTCAGAATATTACATGGGTACAAATGTTTTGGTTACATGCGTTGTTTTTGTACTGCTTCAGTCAAAGTTATGAGCCCATCATCCAGTGTACACTGTACCCATTAGGTATGATTTCACCCATCCCCTCCTCTCCTCTCCCACCTGCTTGATTTCCATTGAATTTTACTTCCGTCTGTGCACATGAGTGCTGATCGGTTAGTTCCAATTTAATAGTGAGTACATGTAGTGTTTGTTTTTCAATTCTTGTCATACTTCACTTAGAAGGATGGTCTCTAGCTTCCATCCAGATTGTTGCTGAAGGAATTAATTCACTTTTTATGGCTGAGTAATACTCCATGGTGTACATATACCACATTTTATTAATCCACTCATGAATTGATGGGCACTTGAGTTAACTCCACATTGTTGGAATTGTGAATTGTGCTGCAATAAACATTCTAGTGCAAGTGTCTTTTTGATAAAATGACTTCTTTTCCTTTGGGTAAATCCCACCCAGTAGTGGGATTACTGGATCAAATGGTAGGTCTACTTTTAGTTTTTTGAGGAATCTCCATACTATTTTCCATAGAGGTTGCACTAGTGTGCAGTCCCACCAACAGTGTATATAACCCCAGTTAGAGTTGCTTTTATCAAAAAGTCCCAAAACGATAGATGCTGATGTGGATGCAGAGAGAGAGAGAGCATCATTCTTAGTGGCTAACCACATTGCTAAAGCTAAGAAGCCCTTTACTATTGGTGAAGACTTGATCCTGCCTGCTGCGAAGGACATTTGCCATGAATTTTTAGGAGAGGCTGCAGTTCAAAAGGTGGCACATGTTCCTCTTTCGGCTAGCACCATAACTAGACGAATTGATGAAACAACAGAGGATACTGAGGTGCAATTCTTAGAGAGGATTAATGAGTCACTGTGGTACGCAATCCAGGTTGAGTCTACTGATGCTGCCAACAAGGCAACGATGCTTGTTTTTGTACGATATATTCTCAGAAGGATGTCCATGAGGATATGTTATGTGCACTTTTGTTGCCAACCAACACCACGGCTGCAGAACTATTCAAGTCTCTGAATGATTACATATCAGGAAAACTGAATTGGTCATTTTGTGTCCGTATATGAATGGACGGAGAGGCTGCCATGACTGGACGGCTTTCCGGTTTCACTGCTCTCGTGTCACTACTCAGGTCAAGAAGGTCGCTGATTAATGTGAGTCTATGCACTGTGTCATCCATAGAGAAATGCTGGCCAGCAGAAAAATGTCACCTGAACTAAACGACATTTTGCATGATGTGATTAAAATTATCAACCACATTAAAGTACATGCCCTTAACTCACGTCTGTTCATGCAGGTCTGTGAGGAGATGGACACAGAGCACACACGTCTTCTCTAATACACAGAAGTGAGATGGCTTTCTAAAGGTAGACCATTGGCCAGAGTTTTTGAGTTACGAAAGGCACTCTAGAGATTTCTCTTAGAAAAAGAGCCTCTATTGGCATCACATTTCAGTGACACAGAATGGGTATCAAAACTTGCTCCCTTGTGTGACATATTCAACCTGCTCAACAAACTCGATCTGTCCCTTTGGGGGAGAATGATAACTGTGTTCAAATCGGCAGATAAAGTGGCTACATCCAAAGCCAAACTGGAATTATGGGGGTGACAAGTGAACATTGGGATTTTTGACATGTTTCGAACGCTAGCAGAGATTTTGAAAGAGACTAAGCCAGGACCTACTTTCTACCAGCTAGTGCATGATCACCTATCTCAGCTTTCAAAAGAGTTTGAGCACTACTTCCCAACCACAAAAGACCCCCGAACTGGGAAGGAATGGATCCGCAATCCATTTGTGAATAAGCCAGCTGAATCAACTTTGTTCATACAGGAAAAGGATCAACTGCTTGAGATCACAAATGACTGTGGCCTTAAAAGTATGTTTGAGACAACTTGAAATCTCCATATATTCTGGATTAAAGTCCAGGCAGAATATCCTGAGATTGCCACAAAAGCACTGAAAAGCCTGCTTCCATTTCCAACATTTTATCTTTGTGAAGCAGGGTTTTCTGCAGTGACAGCCACCAGAACGAGATTACGGAGTAGACTGGACATAAGCAGCACACTTCGGGTATCACTGTCTCCCATCATTCCCAGATGGGACCATCTAGTTGTAGGAAAACAAGCTTAGGGCTTCCACTGATTCTGCATTATGGTGAGTTGTATAATTATTTCCTTATATATTACAATGTAATAATAATAGAAATAAAGTGCACGATAAATGTAATGCACTTGAATCATCCCAAAACTAGCACCCCCCCACTCCTACCTCTCAGTCCAAGCATAAATTGTCTTCCATGAAACCAGTCCCTGGTGCCAAAAGGCTGGGGACCACTGGTCTATATGATATCACTTTTCATATTTTACATAAGAAAAATATAAATGTCTTTGATATTCAGAAACAACATAAGAAGACAGACACCAGAGAACCAGCTGAAGCAAGACAGCGTAAGAAAGTTGGTGAAGAAATGGAAAAGAGCCATAAGTAAATAAAGGTGAAAGACGAAAGAACACAGATGAAAACCTGATCTATATCACTAAGACTTCCAGTTCCATACCCCCGTAAAATGTAAAACAAGCCTTTACGGAATCACAGAACGGACAGACTTTACGTCCGAGAGGATTATGAGCAGGAACTTTCATCAGCACGAAGACTTCTAGTCTGAGGACCCACAGCAGAGAGCTCTGCAGTTCCAGCTGTCAATACCACCTAAATTCTTTTCTAGACCCCTGAATTTGAAGATCATTAAAACCTTCTTACCTGTACTTCCTTCTGATGACCCACACCAAAGAACAGAATTTTAGATGAATCTGAAAGTTAAAAAGAAAAAAAAAGACTAAAAATGTATGGACTTGGGATATGGAAGACCGGAGTTCAATCCATGACTCTACCACACATTATTTGTGTGGTTAAATTTCCTCAGCTACAAAATGGTGGGAAAATACAGCCTACCTCACAGTTGCAGGGGTCAAATGAAAAACGTGGATATGCAAGCAGTTTGCTTAACAATGATGATGATATTAATATTAGAAAATCTTCATATACTCATTCAACCATGCCTACTATATGCTAGGTATGATGTCAGCCACTACAGATACTGTGATGAACAAGACAGACATGTCTTCTAGTGCACCCAAGGGCTTACTGTTTATTAGAAGAAGAAAAACTTAAATAAGGTGTGGTGAGTGATAAGGAGGAAACATTTCAGCACCAGCTAAGAGAATATGTCTGGGTCAGACACTTGGATTTGAATTCCACAACTACCACTTAAGAGTTCTGTGATCTTCAGCAGACTGCATAACTTCTCTGTGCCTCAGTTTCCTTATCTGTAAAATGAGGATAATAGTAGGATTATAATCCTCATGGGATGTAATGAGAATTAAATGAGTTGATATCTGTAACATTCTCAGAACCATGTCTGGCCACGGAAGGCACACTAAGTGTAGAGATAAAATTTTCTTCTTTTTTTTTTTTTGAGACAGAGTCTCACTCTCTTGCCTGGGCTAGAGTGCCATGGCATTAACCTAGCTCACAGCAACCTCAAACTCCTGGGCTCAGGCAATCCTCCTGCCTCAGCCTCCTGGGTAGCTGGGACTACAGGCATGCACCACCATGCCCGGCTAATTTTTTTCTATTTTTAGTTCTTTTGGCTAATTTCTTTCTATTTTTAGTAGAGACGGGGTCTCGCTCTTGCTCAGGCTGGTCTCGAACTCCTGAGCTCAAGCAATCCTTCCGCCTCGGCCTCCCAGAATGCTAGGATTACAGGCGTAAGCCACCACTCCTGGCTATGAGATAAAATTGTTTTAATCTTTAGAGATGAGTTCTCACTATGTTGCCTAGGCTGGCCTCAAACTCCTGGGCTCAAGCGATCCCCCCACTTCAGTCTCCCAAGTAGCTGGACTATCACCACACAAAGCCTGCAGAGATAATTTTTGTAAAATAAATAAAGTCTATGACTATGAAGAGCCATGGGAACACGTAAATGAGAACCTAATTGACATGTGGCAAGGTCAGCAAAATTCTCCCTGAACCAAATATTCCTCTCTCTTCCACAGCAAATGTAATAAGTTTTGTTTCAGTGGTATTCACAAGGAATTAAGGCTTTAAATTCTACATCCTGGCAGTATTAAAACTGTGCCAAATGTCCAATAAGTGTGTATGCCAAATCTATTTTAAAATGTTTCAAAAACACAAATAGGTTTGGAATTTTCCAAAATTTAAAAGTGCAAAGCACTCTTACATATATTATCTTATTGACCCTCACATAAATTCTTCCAGGAAAGCAGAATAGGAAAGGAAGGACATTCGGTGACCCCATGTGACTTACCCAAAGCCAGAGCCAGTAAAGAGAGCACAGAGACAAAAGCTGAGTCTCCTGGTTGGTAACACCACACTCTTCCCCATACTATGATGTGCATATGACCAGCTATCTCCTAAAAGTCGAAAGAAATGCCAACTTAGAGACTTGAAATAGCAAAAGAGATGGCCAAGATGCAGAAATGTGTCTTGTTCTCAGCTCTGAGAGTGCCTCTCTTCCCCGCAGCTGTGCAAGCAGAAACCAGGGGCCATGAGCCTAAAACAGTGTGCTTGGTTCCTGCCAAGTAATATTTTGGGAGACCATCCCATAAAATTAGTGTTAGACTTCTCAAAAAGGAAGTGTGACTTTTACAGAAAAATCTATTCCATTTGGGAGAAAGGTCTAATAAAACCACAAAAGGATAATACATTCATACAACAACAAATTAAATTCATCTGTCACAAACTGAAATCCCAAAGCCCTCTGGGCACACAGCTGCTTTTCTGAGCTGAAATTTAACTCCAATTGAGAAACGGGTCAACTTTTCTAAAAAGATTTCTTTTGGAAATGTCTTAAATAAAAATTCCTTTCACTCACTTGTCATTTTCCAGATTTAATGCCTCTGCTGGCCTTCCTTTCACTAAGGCCACAAGCACAGATTACATGTCTACTGTGGCCTGGACTCCAAGCTAGGCATCATGGTGAACATGGCTACACCCTCCTCAAGGGGCTCACACCCGGGAGGGGAAGATGATACGGTCACAATCTTCACACAGCAAAGAACCTGTCAACATGGAGCACATCCCGTTTCTAACACGAGACTGATGTGCAGTCTGCAACACTAACTGGACGTCAACGGTCCAACCTGCTGTGGACACAGGCACTGGGGCCTCCACACAGGCGGCGCGCACCTTCAGAGGGGCTGACACACACGCAGCGGCAAGGCAGGGAAGCCCCACGCACGAAGGTCAGCCTGGGGCCTGCAGGAAGGCCCACGCGTCAGGAGGAAGGCGACCAGCATAGGATATGGGAAGGCTCCCAAACGAGCAGAAACCTCCCAAGAACTCCTCCCCAAACAGGGAAGGGATTTACAGAGGACTCAACCTAACATGCGTAGTTACCAGGTACAGAGCCACAGCAGCAAGGTATCAAGGAAGAAACAGGGTCGCCAGAAGCCTAAGAGGCTATTCCCAGCTCTGAGGCTAATTCACTCCATGGCCCTGGTCACAGCTCTTGGTTACAGTGAGCCACAGGAAAAACACCTAAAAAAGAGAAGTTAGGAAAACTGCCCTTTTTCACAGAACTGCTGAGCGAATAAAGTTAAGATAATGGATCTTAAAATTCTTGGTGAACTATGAAGCACAGGTAAGGAATCATTCTTACTAACCTTGTAAAATTAAGACCAGAGTTAAGAGTAGAACGTTTTCCTCCCCCTACTCCCAACCAAGAGAAGTGGAGATGCAGTCAACACATTCAGCAGCCCCAGCATCTGGAGCATCTAGGCTAGAGGGCCTCGAGCAGCACATGAACTTCCACTGTGTCCTCCCTGCAGTGGTCACTGAGTTCCCCGAGAGAGCGCCAGCCAACCATAAAATACCACAGCCTCTTCAGATGGGCTTGAAGGCATCCCAGCTTCCAGCACAGCTCAGGATTGAAGAAGTTTTCTACCACTGGACTCAGACTTAGGAGTTGGCTTTGGTACATTCCCATAGCACAGGTCAAAGAGCATGCAACTGTCATGTGACGAAATTAAATGTCCCGTGCTTAACCCAGAGAAATCACACAAAGCTGAAATCCCCAAAAAATGTATTCAAAAAAAACATTTAGTGACTTCTGCTTCAAGGCCTTCAATATAACCTGTAATAGTTCCCCTCTTTCCAGCCAACTCCACTAATGCTGTGACCTTAATAATGCTTTCACTAATACTGAGGAAAATTAATAGGACCTTATACCCCTCACAGCTGAGAGCTACACAGACACCGCCAATACTTCTCCCTGGGCTCACTAAAGATGGCCTTTACCCAAAATTAGACTGCAAAGTCCCTATAAATGCAGATATATTATTCCCAAATTACCATGTTCTTTGTCCACTTCTAAGGAAGATGGATTAAAATGAGTCTCAAAGTCAGAACTAAAAGAGGCCTTAACACCAACCCCTCCTTTTACAACAGAGAGATCTAAAGCCTAGATAATAAGAGGAAATAGCCTGTCCTGGTTTAGTGACCTAGTCATCTAACCTCTGGCCCTAAACTCCTGCAACAATGTACAAGTTGAGTCTTCCTAACCTGAAAATCCAAAATCCAAAATTTTTTGAGTACCAACATGGTGCTCAAAGGAAATGCTCATTGGAGCATTTCAGATTTCCAATTTTCAGATTAGGGATGTTCAGCTGGTAAGTATGATGCAAATATTTCAAAATAAAAAAAAAAAAAGATCTAAAATCCACTTCTGGTCCCAAGCATCTTGGATGAGGGATACTCAACCTGTATTTTCTTTTTCTGATAAAGGAAAGAAAAAAAGTGAGGCCCAAGCAAAAGCTACTCAATCCCTACTAAAGCCATTCAAGAGTTTACTTAGCACCTATTTAAAGGTAAGTGCTACCCAGAAAAATATAAAACACGAATATGTAAGAGTAACTTAAGCTGTCTTTTGATGTGTGACCCATGGTCATAAAGCACAAGGCCTGCTCTATGCTCCAAGTGCACAGGGGGTCCCCTTTCTCTTAATACTTACCATACTCTCTTACAGCCATTTGTCTATGTCTGTCTACCACACTAGACTGCACACTCATGAAGGCAGGGATTACATATTATTATCCTTCTATGCCTAATGTCCCTAGCCTGTAAGATACTTAATAAATGATTATTGAAATAAGATACTAAAACATTTTTTTTTTTTTTTTTTGAGACAGAGTCTCACTCTGTTGCCCTGGCTAGAGTGAGTGCCATGGCATTAGCGTAGCTCACAGCAACCTCAAACTCCTGGGCTCAAGCGATCCTCCTGCCTCAGCCTCCCGAGTAGCTGGGACTACAGGCATGAGCCACCATGCCCGGCTAATTTTTTCTATATATTTTTAGTTGTCCGATTAATTTCTTTTCTATTTTTAGTAGAGACGGGGTCTCGCTCTTGCTCAGGCTGGTTTCGAACTCCTGAGCTCAAACAATCCGCCCACCTCAGCCTCCCAGAGTGCTAGGATTACAGGCGTGAGCCACCGCGCCCGGCCACTAAAACATTTTAAATTTACATTAACAAAATTGGCAAGTTTTGCCAATGCAGATTTCATAACACACAGCTTAAATCTCAACTTGTGGATTTATCCAGTGTTCTGCTAGATTGTCATTCACTAAATATTTATCGAGCACCTAATATGTGCTAGACACTGCTAATTGCTGGGGACCAAGCAGTGACAAGTACAACATTCCTTGTTCAAAAGGAAATTTTAAAGAGGAAGAGGAGAAAAAATATTAGCAAATTGATGAGAGAGAGCT